TATTCAATAACTTTTCCTTAATCCGTTTCCCTTAAATTGTTACTAAAAATAGGCATTACCTGGTTAGTTATGTAGGTCAGGGAATTCCCTAGCGCATTGATTACAACATGTCATAACGTTTTATGGGTGTTCAACATAGGTCGAGTTCTTGTCTTGGTGGTTGGTCACCTCGATCGAAGGTGCGCATAAAATGGCGCTCCTTTTTTTCTGTTACTCAAAATGGCAATTAGCCAAAGAATCAGGTCACCATTTTAAGTTTAATTATATCAGTATATTTTTCTTTAAAAAAATAAAAATATATGTACTCTCAACCGTATACAATATACACTGTCGTAGGTAACAGAACGCAGGCTAATATACAAATGTCCCATGTTAAAAAAAATGTTTCAGTGTAAATTATGAAAAAGGAAAAAAAAAAAAGCAATTTTTATAGACAAAATATAGAACAATGTGCTTTGGCTTAAAATATCTATACTAATACTCACTCACTGACTCATCACAAAGTCTCCAACTTCCCCTGTAGATAGAAGCATGAAAATTGGCAGGTTTATTCTTTACAGCTTAACTACATAAGTTAAAGCAGGTTTCATTTCGAAAATCTATACCGTTTGGGGCTGGGGGCCCAAAATGTCTTTTTTTTTTTTTCAATAATTCCTATATAGATAAAATGATCAACAAATACTGCTACATGAATAGATGGATCTTGACCAAAATTAATATACATACATTTGATTATCCATATTCTAATACTGAAGGGTATTAGAACACATAATATATATATCCCTTTGGGGCCTTATATAAGCAATATAAATATCTGTAGGCTTAGAACTCATACATGGATAGATGGATCTTGATCAAACTTAGTACACTTACTCTTGGATAGCCATATTCAAATACCGAAGGGTACTTAACTCATAATATCCATACCACTGCGGCCGGAGGGCCCATTTCATTTTCCCTTATATAAGCTATATTCTCCAACTTCCTCTGCAGATAGAAGCCTGAAATTTGGCAGGCTTATTCCTTACAGCCCACTTACAAAAGTTAAGTAGGCTTTATTTTGAAACTCTCGCCCACAAACTGTCACAACCGGGGGCCCCGAATTCGCATTTCTTTCCTTATATGAACTTTATCAATAAAATTAACAACAAATACTTCTACTTGGATAGATGGATCTTGACGAAACTTATCACACATACACTTGATTATCCATAATCAAATACCAAAGGGTGCTTAACTCATAATATCCATACCTCTGGGGCCAGGTGCCCCATTTCATTTTTTCTTATATAAGCTATATAAATATAAATAGGCTTAATACTCCTACATGAATAGATGTATCTTGACCAAACGTATCACTCATACACTTGATTATCCCTATTTAAATACCGAAAGGTACTGAACTCATATTATCCATACCATCTCAGACATAACTAAAACGGTACTAAATTAATGGGCCCCCCACAGGGGCCCCTATATCAATTTAAATGTACTATAGTTATAGTAATACAATTTAGTTGTATAATGTTTCGATTTCGAGAAATAAATTACGTGGAAAAGTAATTTTTTACACGTTTCATGGAGGATATTAAATTTAATCTAGGATGTTTTAGAATTTTCTATATTGTTCTACGGAGATATATAATTTGATCTTCTTCTTACATTTGCGGGGCCCACGATCTCAAAGCTTATTCGAACAAAATCGCACTAAGCATGATCCCGTAGAAAAATAGGATCCTAATGGGGACCCATCGGTTACGCGATCCCATCTGGGAACAGGATACCATCGAGATCCCATCGGCTAACGGGATCAAACCGGGATCAGTGTCAGAAAAGGGATAACATCGGAAAAGAGTTCCCTGGGTGGAACGAGATCCCAAAGTGAACGGTATCCTAACGGGATCGGTAGCCCATCGGGAACCACTGAGATCGGGATCCCACTGGGATCAAGATACCGACGGGATCGGGATCCCAATGGGATATGGATTTCCCCCCCCCCCCCTGGATCCGGAGCCACAACAAAATAGGATCCCCCCGGGCACGGGAACCACACGGGGAAAAGAGATTGGGTTGAGAATGGGTTTGGGGACTCATTAGAATTTGGGGTCTTACAAAGATCGGGGTCCCAAGGACGAACCCTATAAAATGTTGGCATTGATTTGAGGCAGGTTTGATTTTCGCAAGGGAATGCATTGTATAGAGTCTCCGGAATATGCGGACGCTTGAACATTTCTTACAGTTTTTTTCTTTAAAAAAAGGCTCTCCGGTGCGAAGTGCGGGTATTTTGCTAGTATGAAATAAATGTGTTACTAATGCGTAACGCAATTGTCTTCAAACTCAACATTTTTTACTAAAAACTGACGCGCCGTAATAATATAATTTTTATTTTTATTTTAATGCTTTATGATATAGACTCTATTTCATACATCATAAATGCAAAACACTGACTAATAATTGCTTCAACTTTAAGCGACAACAACATAATTTAACCCAAAACATGTAACTTGTTGTTAATACAATCTCAAGTTTTGTCATTTTAAGTCCTATATTAAATGAACATGTAATAAGATTGGATTAATTCTTTCTGCTTTATAAAAGTAAGGGGAACTAATTTTTGTTTGACCCACGTAATGCAGGCCAAATATATATATATATATATATAATTCTTTTTTATAGTAGGTTGAAAAAAAATTCATGGCAACATGGCATTCCTTTCAAACTTTTATTTAAAGTGACCCAAATACGTTATTATTATTATTTTACAATCATTATTACTTTAAAAAATCATTTAGTTTTACGAGCAATGCAGAGATTTTTTTTTAAAAAAAAGGGAAAGAATGACCCTTCCTGGTGTTAAGATATTGAATGATGAAGGACGGCGTTCAAGAAATGTGCAGGAAAAAGTGAAAAGAGCTTTGTGGAAGCTTGAAATATCAAGAGAGACCAAAAAAAGAGAACACTTGGGGCTGAGAGGCTTCCTCCGCTTACAGGGAGAATGAAAAAAAAATAACAAGAAATAGAAAAAAAAAATAATAATTAATCTCTGGCTTTTTTTCAACGAAGTTTTATGGCACAACTTATTAATAAACTCTGTTCATTATCCAACAGGAAATACTCACTTTTTAAAAAAAATACTAAAGACTAAGTCTTTTAACAACCGGGTGTAGCTAGCAAAACGGTAATAGTGAACATTTAGTCGGAAAAAAATTAGGGAAATTCCATTAAACTTTAAAGAAATAAATTTAAACACTTAAACGTGAGTGTTTATCTGAATTTATTTATGAAGCCCTTATCTCGGAGATAAATATTTCCTAAACTCTATTTAACAAATTATTTGCTCAAACTCTATTTAACAAATTATTTCCTAAAACTTTATTTAACAAATTATTTCCTAAACTCTATTTAATAAAATAATATCCTCAACTCTATTTAACAAATAATTTCATCAAACCCTATTTAACAAATTATTTTCTCAAAGTCTATTTAACAAATTATTTTCTCAAACTCTTTTAACAAAAAATTCCTAAAACTCTATTTACAAATTATTTGCTCAAACTGTATTTAACAAATTATTTCTTAAACTCTATTTAACAAAATGATATCCTCAAACTCTATTTAACAAATTATTTCTTAAACTCTATTTAACAAAATGATATCCTCAAACTCTATTTAACAAATAATTTCATCAAACCCTATTTAACAAATTATTTTCTCAAAATCTATTTAACAAATTATTTCCTGAACTCTATTTAACAAACTATTTACTCAAACTCTATTTAACAAATTATTTGCTTAAACTCTATTTAACAATTTATTTTCTCAAACTCTATTTAACAAATTATTTGCTCAAACTCTATTTAACAAATTACTTCCAAACTCTATTTAACTTTTTTTTTCCCACCTTAAACTCTTTTTAATAAAACAGCAAGCTTCTTTTCTGCTACCGGTTTTAAAATAATATTTCCCTGCATGTCAAGTAGGGGACACAACCATTCAGTAATTCATGTGTACTGTCGTAGGGAATTGTGCTGGTGTTTCATTATATCAAACTATTTACACTATTCACACCAATCTGTACCATCTCATTATTCTGTTCTTTCACATTTCCTTCCATGATTTTATCATGTCCCCCCCCCCCCTCGACATCAGCAAAATCATCTTTTGTCTCAGATCCTNAAAAAAAAAAAAAAAAAAAAAAAAATTATTAAATTTAAAAAAAAAAATAAAAAAAAAATTAAATCAATAAATAAAAACTTTAAAAATAGGAAATATCAACTTGTAAATTGTATGACATTTAATTTTTTGATTATATTACTTATCAACTTTTTTTTTTAGTACTGAGTTAATGGGTAAAGGAATGGTGTTACTGATAAATGAAAGGTTCTCATCAATGGGGTACTATAAATATATTATATATATATAGAGAGAGAGAGATCGTTGTATTCTAAATTAGTTATAATTTATAAGGCACGTTATGTTTCAGAAACATGGTAACAAGGAAACATGGCTACGATGAAACATGGTTACAAGTCAGACAGGAGACGGAAAAGATCTTTATAAAATATTTTATTACAAAATTATGTACAAAATCTTGGGAAACATCACATTCAAGTTTATCCTCTCTGGTAATAAGAAATAATTTGTCAGTTAGATGAACAGATAAAATGTAATTTATTTTATACGAGACACGAAATCTTTCTCCCTTTTTTTTTCATTCCTTTTTATTTTATTTTTTTTTAAATTTTCTTTCTCCCCTTCCTTCTTCCTTCCATTTCTTTTCTAATTCTCTCTTTGTCTTTCTTTATTTAAAAAAAAAAAAATTATTTTATTCCTTCTTTCTTTCCTGTTTCTTCCAATCTCTCTTGTGTCTTTCTTTCTTAATTTCATTTCGCTAAAATTGTCTATGTTAATTTGAAACATAAAATAAATAATTTATTATTTTAAAATATCTTTGACAATGACTGTCTGATATGATAATTATTTATTTTTAAATGTTTTCCCTTTATTACAATTACCAACAATGTAAGCATATATGTAACTTTATTAATACAAATAAAATCGCAAAGAATTATCTCCACTGTATGATCCGTTCAGAGTCTCCCTGGAACTCGCATGTGCCCTCAACGGTCCACCTGACATATTCAGCGGCACCATCGGAACCAATAAGGATCTGGAGGGTCTTGACATCATCCTTCACGGATTGCCTGTTAGCCGCTGGCCAACTCCTGACATCTTTGACAATGTCTGCAATTCCGAATTCTTCAACAGCGCCGTTTCCGTGTGGAAATAAGACTTTACCACCAAGTTTGACTTGACAGGAAAAACGACCTTTTGGAAAAAAAAAGGCAATTGTTTTAGTCAAATATCTTAGATTAATTTAATCTTATGTAAACCAGTAACGCAGTATTTAAAAAAAAAAACTTTAAAAATAAGCACTGTAATTACTATATACGTATTCGTTCATATAATGTCTTAAAATGTCATTGACATATTTGATTTGGAAATGTTTCGAATAAACGATTAAAATAATTGGCATGTAGTCATTTAAAAAAAAAAAAGGATTTGTCCATATTCAATTAAAAACGCATTAAAACATGTGTATTTTAGCGACTTGACCTAATCACGCACTGAAGCACAATGGTTTAAAGAATTCGACCTACCAATGAAATAGGTTTCTTTGTCCGAGACAGTGGCAAGGGCCGGATGGCTGCTGTCCATTCTGTGAGCGCTGCTCAACCTAAGGATCATCTTGTCCTCTTTCTCGTGGATTGATTTCCCTGGCTGTAGCTCCACGTATGCCCCCAAGGAAGATGGCAGATTCGATGTTGGAACTTTCAGTGGTTTGTTCAGACCTGAAGCAGAGATTTCAGTCAAACGTGAAATGATGTTTGAACTTGATACACGATTTGATATGTTACAGTACATTTGACAAATGGGAAATTTTACCTTACACAACGAACATAATTGATACACAAAAAAAAAAAAGGAATTACAGTAGATTTTTAAATAATCAGATACAAAAGCCTTTCATATTTGGCCAATAAACAGTAACCTGCTTTTAAGATATGGATTTTCATAACCCTTGCGTGTCCTTTGTCTTAGCAAGGTGGCTTTACTTAACAAGGTGGCTTTACTTAACAAGGTGGCTTTACTTAACAAGGTGGCTTTACTTAACAAGGTGGCTTTACTTAACAAGGTGGCTTTAACTCACCTGGCGCTACGCCCTGGAGAATTGTAACCTTCGTCTTGCAGACTGACTCCTTGGTTGTCTCCACATCGCTGTAGAGTTCTCTCTGGTTTGGTGTGTACATCACGTTTAACTGATGACAACATTAATTAATGTTAACTGTGCTGTCTTGCAATAAATTAATGTTAACTATGCTGTCTGGAAATAATTTAATGTTAACTGAGCTTTCTGGCAATAAATTAATGTTAACTGTGCTGTCTGGCAATAAATTGATGTTAACTGAACTGTCTGGCTATAATTTAATATTAACTGTGCTGTCTGGCAATAATTTAATGTTGACTTTTTGCCCCCGACTTACTGCTATGGAAGTGCAGGGGATTTGTATAGATTGTCACTTTATATAATTAAACAACAAAAAAATAATATGTATTTAAAAAGTCTTTTTAAAGGGCCCTATGAGAGTATGTAACCAGAAAAAAAAATATGGTGCCCACGAGCGTTATGTTGGATGCAGCCTTGTCAAAAAAGAAATGACTAAAACAGCTTTATTTTTTTATTTTAAAAGATTTTTATTTATTATTAGATATTTTTTTTTAAAACAACATGTACAGATAAAACAAAGTAGGAAAAAAAAAAAAGATCGAAATAATAATTTTCTTAGAATGAAAAAGACGAATGAGTGAACGCCCCAAACATCAGCCGTAAACACTGACCTGTCTTGTGGATGCTTCTTGGGACGCCAACTGAGGTGTGACGTCGGTCCAGGTGACGTCACCGTCAATGGACAGTTTGAGCAGGTCAAGATTGGGCTCAGCTGCGATGAGCAAGAGAAAAGGGTGGGTGTGGGGGTGGGGGGGGGGCGAGTTTATTAAACGTTGAATGAAAAGAGTAGAAACTTCCTTTGGTTTTTTTTTTTATTAATAACCCACACTTGGTGACGTCATGTCTCCATTTGAATGCGATGAGCAAGAGAAAAGGGTGGGTGTGGGGGTGGGGGGGGGCGAGTTTATTAAACGTTGAATGAAAAGAGTAGAAACTTCCTTTGGTTTTTTTTTTTATTAATAACCCACACTTGGTGACGTCATGTCTACATTTGAAAGCAGATTTGTTTGTTCATTTCAATTTCAACTACTTGGACAAGTAGTCAGCACTCTGCTAGTCTCCCACCAAGTAAATTTTTAACATAATATTTGAAAATGCAATCCAAAAAAAAAATATATGTATAGACAGCTAAAATTTAGTATAATATAATTTAGTATAACATAATTTATTATAATATATTTAGTATAATATTATTTAGTATAATATAATTTAGTATAATATCACTTAGTACCAAATTATTTAGCATAATATAATTTAGCATAATATAATTTAGTATAATATAATTTAGTATAATATGCGCATATTAAAATTTAAACATAAAAAGTACCTTGAATATCATAGACATTACAGTACTCCTTGCAAAGCTTGGAAAAGTCCATAGCTGGTAAATTTCTAAAACAAATGGATTACAGGCAATTCAAATTAGCCGAGTATTCACAACCAGCAAAGAATAATGTCAAAAGGTTAGTAAATAAATAACCATGGGCATTAACAAAATTATGAATTTCAACCAAGATCATATCACAGGCAAATATATATGCAAAGAATTTATTATCATCCATACCTCATAACTAAAGTGAAACTATTTTTTTTTTTAAAGATTGATAAAAACAGAATGAGGTGATACAAGCATCAACACACATAATCACAAACCCCACTGTACATACCACGAGCACCACAATACATAGTATAACATGACACCGACAAGCAAATTTAAAAGGGACGCGAATTTCAGCGGCTCACTCGGACAATTTAACATTACACCACACAAAACAACAACAAAAAAAAAAAAAAAAAAAAAAAAAAAAAAAAAAAAAAAAAATCGACGGAAGAAAAAAAGAAAAAAAAAAAAAACTTTAAAAAAAAAAAAAAAAAAAAAAAAAAAAAAAAAAAAACAAAAAGGGACGCGAATTTCACCGGCCCACTCGGACAATTTAAAATTACACCACACAAAACAACAACAAAAAAAAAAAAAAAAAAATAAAACAAACAAACAAACAAACTCGTCTGATGACTTGATGAATCAATAAAATAACTTTGACTACGTCTATCTTACTTCATCAAGAAATTTTAAACCATCCTTGCAATCTTGAATTAAATATCTCACTCAATTAATTATTTCATTAATTAATCGCTCGAAAACGAAATAAATCAATTAAAAAAAAAACAAGCTCTTACCTCTGCAGAATAATATACAAGAAAATCTCGTAAGCCTGAATGAAGAGTTAGTCTGATATTTTTGGCACTTTGTTAGCTGATTGAGCGAATGTATGATTTATTAAGTCAAAGACCTCAAAGCTAATTAAAAAATTTCGAAGCTTGAGTCGCCTTTTATAGGACGGCATCTCTAGGAAATCACGAGACAAAATTATAAATAGTCTCGACATTTTGGACACGTCATACCGAGAGTAATTCCCCTCCACCCCTAAATCCACATCATTTTTTTGTGAGTACATTGGATGTATTCGAAACGTTAGGTAATACGAACAGCAGACACAGCGCTCTCGCTTTCGGTAGCCGATGACAGGCGAAGTATGTACGGAGTTGACGGGAAGTTCCGATAAGCTACGGACCACGTACATGGCGTTTGGCCAACTTCGTTTCGGTATCAGTGACGTGTTCGTGACCACCCCTTGTCTGCCAATGAAACACTTAATAATAATACATAGTCCCTTACGGGGAAATCACTCATTTTAGAATAGTTTATTTTTAACACATGCATGGCAGGATGAGCCTATAATATAAGATTGGGTGTTAAATGGGCCTACTTTTCAATCTTAACATTTAAACTCAATATCTTAACCTGCACACTAGCTTTTGAAAGGATTATCATTCTTTTGATATATTATCAATTTAAAGGTATGTTATTTTATTTCTCCTGTGATTTCTTAAAAAACAAAATATTTGAACAAAATTGAATAGAGTAGACATTTCTTAGTTAATTTTTTTCTTAATATTTAGAACGGTAAAAAAGCAGGGCCGGTAATTCGATGACATTTCTCGATGATTACTAGATTAGAATATTTAGAATTTGATTGTAATATTATGTGTGTGACGAAAGTATAATTTTAAATGTGTAACTTTAATGTAAATCAGGGTTTTGACTTTCGCTGTCTCACCGTTGGTTTTTGTTTACAATTATTCACATATGATGTTTACAATTATTCACATATGATGTTTACAATTATTCACATATAATGTTTACAATTATTCCTTTATAATTTTTACAATTATTCCTATATAATGTTTACAATTATCCCTATATAATATTTATAATTATTCATATATATAATGTTTACAATTATTTACATATAATGTTCCTATTTAATGCTTACAATTATTCCTATATAATGTTTACAATTATCCACATATAATGTTTACAAATATTCCTATATAATGTTTACAATTATTCCTATATAATGTTTACAATCATCCACATATAATGTTTACAATTATTCCTATATAATGTTTACAATTATTCCTATATAATATTTACAATTATTCATATATATAATGTTTTCAATTATTCACATATAATGTTAGCAATTTTTCATATATATTTTTTTTACAATTATTCATATATAATTTTACAATTATTCACATATAACGTTAGCAATTATTCATATATAATGTTTAAAATTATTCATATATATAATGTTTACAATTATTCATATATAATGTTTAAAATTTTTCCTATATAATTACAAATATTCATATTTCTGTCCTTAAATATTTTCACAATCCGCTCATTGAGTTTAACTTTAAATTTCAAGAGTACGTATTTTGTTTCCTTTTAGTTTACTGATATTATCTTCCGTAATTCTCTCCATGATTATGAGGTGAGAAGCGTGCATGAAGCTTGTACTTAGTGTACATTTTGTGCGTTTGGCTTAAGTATAAACCATGATGTAGGTGAGGACATGGACTTGTGTACCGACGAGTTGGGTTAACTTTTCGAAATACAACCGTGCGTACACTTTCCCTCAGTTACTTACTTTTTTACTCCGACAGTTGCATTACCTTAAAGCACAGAGAGAGAGAGAGAGAGAGAGAGAGAGAGAGAGAGAGAGAGAGAGAGAGAGAGAGAGAGAGAGAGAGAGAGAGAGAGAGAGAGAGAGAGACCCAAGAATGGCTTCAGAGTCAGCTCAGCTGATCAATTTGTCGAAGCTTGGCATCGAAGGGTTTAAAGGGGGAAAAGGTCACTCAAGGACGAATGGTACGTTAACATTTGAATGTTACAAAATATAAATAAAAAAACCAGATTAAAAGTTGTTTGTTGTTTTAAATAGAACTTTAAAAAATGGTTCAGACACTATGCATGTTCCCAAAATGGTTCAGACACTATGCGTGTTCCCAAAATGGTTCAGACACTATGCGTGTTCCCAAAATGGTTCAGACACTATGCATGTTCCCAAAATGGTTCAGACACTATGCATGTTCCCAAAATGGTTCAGACACTATGCATGTTCCCAAAATGGTTCAGACACTATGCATGTTCCCAAAATGGTTCAGACACTATGCGTGTTCCCAAAATGGTTCAGACACTATGCATGTTCCCAAAATGGTTCAGACACTATGCATGTTCCCAAAATGGTTCAGACACTATGCGTGTTCCCAAAATGGTTCAGACACTATGCATGTTCCCAAAATGGTTCAGACACTATGCGTGTTCCCAAAATGGTTCAGACACTATGCATGTTCCCAAAATGGTTCAGACACTATGCATGTTCCCAAAATGGTTCAGACACTATGCATGTTCCCAAAATGGTTCAGACACTATGCATGTTCCCAAAATGGTCCAGAAGTCAAGCCGAGGTTAAAAAAAAAATTCTAGGGTTCATGTGATGGTGTGTTCATGTAATGGTGTGTTCATGTAATGGTGTGTTCATGTAATGGTGTGTTCATGTAATGGTGGGTTCATGTGATGGTGTGTCATGTGATGGTGTGTCATGTGATGGTGTGTTCATATGATATCAAAAGTGCGAACTGTCCTCATTACAAATCACCAGAATTTAATTTTTACGAGATTAATTAAAGCGATATCCGTGTCTAATATTCTTCCATTGCAGTGGATCTCGAGGCTCTCAAACAGTCAGTTGACGTCACATGGACTGAAATGTCTCCCGTCACACAATCAGCCAATGGAATTACTAGGAGGGTAGGTCAACAAATTATATTATGAATTACAGACATTCCCTGTATGAGGAAAAATTATATGAAGAATGAAAAGAGTAATACAATTGAATTTACATTTAGAATTATTCAATATAAAAAAATACAATTTTTAGTTAATGAATTAATTTCATAAAAATTTTAATGATGTTCTTATCATTTTAATATTGACATTTTGGGGGGACCTAGTTTTACTTGTATGAAGTTATGGGAATTATTTTTAAAAAAAATTGGAACTAATAATAGCTTTTTGTGCAACTGTCGACTTTTCTGACAGGTGGAGCTTCAATACGCTGACCACCAGCAGGAGAGCTATAGTGAGCTCGGCCTGGTTCAGAACGTCAAGAAAGTACAACGGGTCACACTGGGGTAGTACTCGTCACAGGTGGGTCCATCACACACTGCCAGTGGCCCACTAAAGTCTTTATCTTTAAAAAAGTTGTGTCTCATTTCACTGTTAGAATTTGGGATTATTGTCACAACTGGACATATTTTCCACAGCCGTACAAGAGGTCCTGAAATGAAGATGGACTGACATGTTATGTGTATAGTTTATGTGTTAAATTCATGTCATCCACGTACATTTCTTTATGTCCTTCTTGAGCATGTTGTTTTCCAGACAAGGTTGGTAGACAACTTTGGGTGCTGCCGTGATGGGAAGTAACATTTGGTTCGCGTCATTCTTTTTAAAAGGCCAAAATGGAAGATGTGGAATTAATTTAATGAAGTCAAACCTTCAATAGTCTAGAAATGTGTTTACAATTTATTATTTTAATAGGTTTGCCTCAGCCAATCAGATTGCCGCTTTCGGAGCTACCACCGGAAGTCCGCGAACTGTTTGGTGACGAGCTAATCATCCGAGACGAGGTCATGTGGGAGACTGAATCAGAGCACGAGGCACCCGAGCATAGCAGTGAGCCTCAAAATAATGGATGAATCAAAGGTGGCAGCCGAGTTGCCTTGGTGACGACCACAGAATCGACATATAAATGTAGGAATTTATTCATGCAGCGGTTCTCAAATTTATATTGATGTAACTTTAACCATACTTAAGATCCAATTTTTTGGGTGGGCCCCTTCACGAAAGGGGGTTGTGAGAATTTAAATGTGTGTACAATGTGTACAATATATAATAAGTATACTTAATGTTTTTATGGCCACGTTTTAATGTTTATTAAGATGTATATGTACTAGCAACATGGGCGGTGATGTAGTGGGGCATTGATCTCTCCCCCCCCCCCTCCCCCTTCCTTAATCTCCCCGCTTTCTTTGGTTGGTGTTATTTATTTATTATTTATTTCTTTTTTCGGCTGAAGGTGCACATATAAATGCACTGTTTAAAATATATATTTAAAAAATGAGAAAAAAAAAAACATTTTGAAAAAAAGCCACTTCCTTAACTGACCAGCTGTCTGCATCATGACGCTATACAGGCTCTAGACCGTTGTCCCATTTATTAACAGTAGTTTGGTTGTATTGCAATATTTGTACTTTTACATGTGAAAACATTTACAAAATAAAACACACAAAAAAAAATGTATGGCACAGTTGAGTTTTGCTTTGTATTTCTTAACTTCTCTTGTGACCATAGCCATCTCACAGATTGGGGAGTTGAATCTGTTTCCCAAGCGACACGCTGATAGTGACCAAAGTTTGGGGGCTTTGACCAGCCCAGTCGACTTAAATAACTTTAAGCCCCCCCCCCCCCCCAAGTCGCAGCAACTCGATTCAAGATATCTTATGGTACGAGCCCTAACTTTTAAAAAAAAATGCTTTCGCTCTCCATGACAAAGCCTCGGGGATCTGCGTCACTGCTGGAAAGATATCGACATTAACCTGCTAGCTAGTTGGCTCATTGGCGATAGACCTGCTGTTATTTGGCTATCGACATTAACCTGCTAGTTGGCTCATTGGCGATAGA